GGGTTCGTGTGGTCCCCCCTCGCCACCCACAACGCGTGCACCTGGTTTACGAACACTCTCGCGAGTGTTTGTGTTGTATATGTTGTGTATATTGTAGGGAGCGGTAGTGTCGCGGTCAGCGCGCTGCACTACGAACCCGGCGAACCGGGTTCGATTCCCCGCTCAGGGCCAACACGGGTGACGATTATCTGCAAGCGGTCCTGGGTCTCCCCCTAGGTCGACTCGGCTTCAAATGAGAGACCTGGTGCGGTGTGCAGTAAACATCGCCACTGGGGAGACAAAGGCGGTCGAGCGTGGTGCTGGCCACCCACCCCCTCGTGTACCGTTCCGGCCTTCATAGGTGCTGCTCGCTAACAGCACTTGCCCCTACAGTCTGTTAAGGCTACACGGGGGATCTTTGTCTGTATATTTGTTGTATATGCTGCCGTGTGTTGAACGTCTTTCGCGCCGTACGAAAGAGCCATCCGTTGGTAATCGGGAGGCACGTGAGAAGGACGACGAACTAAACACAAAACAGCAGTTCTAAAGAGATGAGTTTTCGACTGACAGGGTGTCCCATAAGTCTGGGATCATAGGAAAAAGACAGCTCTGTGGTATTGGCTCGGGTCTGGATGCAGTCTGTTAAAATTCAGCAGCGAATAATTATCTGGACTCGTTTTTTCTTACTCTTGTGTGTGTGTGTATTTGTGCGTCGCTGTGTATATGCGAAAACTATTCGTGTGCAGTGATGTCTCCCAGCCACGATGGTTTCCACTCCCAACGATGGATTACACTGACACTGGGCGTGGTGCCACACTTGCCCACTGCGTGTTAGTGACAATTCCACTGCTCATTGGAGCAAATATCGCCGTGTTTTTTGTTAATAAACAGGTTTGCTTCTTGTGCTCCCCGTGCGCTCGTAGTGAGGTGGCGGTGGGCGGGGGAGATCCTGACATGGCCTCTGGGCCTTGCGGCTTCACGGCTCAGATGCAGGGGGCCCACGTCACACGGGAGACTCCCAGTGCCTTCTTCACTGGCCATGACTCAAAGCGTTAACTTTTATCTTTGGCGCGTTTAGACAACGATAATAACGAGCAGCGTTTTAAGCGATCGTACGTGTGTGTGTGTGAATTGTGCCGGCTCTCGCAGATCGTTCGCGTATCTCACTGTGAAGGACCGCCTGCCCAAAATCCTCACGCAAATTATCGACAGACTCCATCGGAGCCGCGCGAAGTTCCATGAGGAGCATGGCGAGGTGTTGTATGATCAGTGTTTTTGTCCATGTGTTGCCACTACTGTACTTATTATTACCACGGTGAATTGTTTTTCATTGACATTCTACAACCACAATTCCATGTCATTATATTGAGTCCCGTGGCATCACATGGTGACCGAGGTCAAAGTCTGATTTACGCAATAACATGTCACGGGGAATTAGCTGTAAACTGCATATTAGGCAATAATGCACGAACGTTCACATTTTTAAAACATTACAGAAGCGACCTGAGGTTAAACCTATTATAATTTTCAAATAATTTGACATTTTATATAAAACTTAGAACTGAATAACATATAAAATGTACCAAAACAGTTTGACTCTGGTGTATTTCCACACATTCTAGAAGTATACCTTGGTTTTACAAATGCCATTTATACAGTGGCATATTAGACATGGTTAATCTTTTTAATCAAATTCCGTCTATGCATCATTGGTATAATGTTTTCTCTGGTAGGAAGGAAGCGAGGCTGACAAGAAGATCATATCACTTCTTTCCAAACTGCGTAACGAGCTTCTTACAGACAAGCCTATTACACCCTTGACCGATGGGCGACCTGATGTGGGCGAGTGGAATGCATACCTAGAGGCACAACGGTGCCTCACAGCAATGCCTAGCTGGTTCACCTCGGCATGGCTTTACGTGGAGTGCTACATGTACCGCAGAGTTCAAGAAGCCATGGCTCTTTGGTAAGGATTATAACTTGAGTAAAATGTTAAGCATGGTTCTGATTTTTTGAAAAGTGCATTAGCATGACATTTCATGTGATTTGTAAACGTGAAAATATATTTTCTTCACAGCCCACCGCTCAATGATCATGATGTATTCAGTGAGCTCAAACAGAAGAGCTTTTTTGATTCTCAGAAAGCAATCATTTCATTATGCGATCATCTTGGTGAAGTTCTAAATAAAATATCTGGATTGAATAAGGATGAAGTGAAGAAAGAATTTCAACAACTACTGCAGGTCTGTTGCAATTTTTATTTTAAAAACAAAACTGTGTAATATGAGCGTAATTATTCATTTCTAAATTTAAAGCTTTCGTGACTGCAAGGATCCATACTCTTTGGTTCTATTGGGTAAAGTCACGTATGTAAAAAATAAAATAACAAAAATCACGACGTTTCGGCCACACCACAAGCGGCCTTCATCAGGTGAAGGGACGAGACTGTCTGGAGGACAGCGCTGGAGTGAAAAAAGCCACGCTCAGATCATGACCTTTAAGCTGTGTGAGAAGAAACAAAGCGCCTTGACAAAGGAATTAGCATATAATTTAGCATTGCAATTGCTGAGTGATTAGCTTGTGACTGGTCACAGAAATGGCTATGTTAAAGTTAAAGCATACACATCCGCAAAGGCACCCCTTGACAAAGGAATTAGCATAGAATTTAGCATTGAAATAGCTAAGTTAAACTATACACATCCGCAGAGGCACCCCTTGACAAAGGAATTAGCATAGAATTTAGCATTGAAATAGCTGAGTGATTAGCTTGTAACTGGTCACAGAAATAGCTATGTTATAAATTCCCTTTTCACACCAACAATAGGTAAACTCCCCCCCCCCCGTGCCAAACGGCAAGTCCACCGGCACGTACACCACCTCTTTTCTAAAATCGGCCAATCAAATGCTAATTTTTATGCTAATTTCTTTGTCAGGACACCTTGTTTGCTCGCACACAGCTTAAAGGTCCACGGTCTGAGCGTGGTTGTGTTTCGCTAAATTCTCCTGTTTGATTTGTACTAGGTGCCTCGGTGAATGTATATGCTCTGACTTTAACAGTTACAACAGTTACAAGCTAATCACTCAGCTATTTCAATGCTAAATTCTATGCTAATTCCTTTGTCAAGGGGTGCTTTTGCGGATGTGTATGCTTTAACATAGCCATTTCTGTGACCAGTCACAAGCTAATCATTCAGCCATTTCAATGCTAAATTATATGCTAATTCCTTTGTCAAGGCGCTTTGTTTCTTCTCACACAGCTGAAAGGTCGTGATCTGAGCGTGGCTTTTTTCACTCCAGCGCTGTCCTCCAGACAGTCTCGTCCCTTCACCTGATGAAGGCCGCTTGTGGTGTGGCCGAAACGTCGTGATTTTTGTTATTTTATTTTTTACCTACGTGAATTTACCCAATAGAACCAAAGAGTACGTAATTATTCATGTACATGTTTTATATATAGCAGTACATATTGACAGTTGAGTCCATGTGTAAATTTGTAAACATGTGTTAATACATTTGAATGTTGTATTGCTAGGTTTGCTTGTGGGGCAACAAGTGTGACCTCTCAATATCGGCTGGAAAAGACAACCCCCAAAAAGCAAGCCCACTGACTGGCTTAAATGATCTGAAGGCCAAAATCCTTATTGATGACACAGAAGCAGTGTGGGCCACACTAGAAGATAAACTAAAAAAGAACCCAAGCAGCACACAATGCTTTAGGCTAGACATTGTTTTGGATAATGCAGGCTTTGAGCTTTTCACTGATTTAGTATTGGCAGAATTCTTGTTAGCTTCCAAACTTGTGGATCAAATACACTTTCATGGGAAGTGTATGCCATGGTTCATTTCTGATGTCACCAAAGAAGACGTAAATTTTACTGTCCACCTCTTGATGGCAAGCAATCACCGTTGGTCTTCCAAGCTAGGAGCTACGTGGCGTAGTCATCTGCAGGATGGCTCTTGGGTATACCATGACCACATGTTTTGGACATTCCCGCACGAGTACTGCAGCATGGAGGCCATCGCACCAGACTTGTACGCGGAGCTAAAGCGCTCAAACCTCATTCTTTTCAAAGGCGACCTCAACTATCGCAAACTAACAGGGGATCGGCAGTGGGATCACACAACAGCATTTGAGACTGCTTTGCAGGGGTTCCATCCATCAGCGCTTTGCAGTCTGCGTGCACTGAAGGCAGACTTGCAGGTTGGTCTGCAGCCTGGGATGGCTGAAATTCTCACTGCTGCAGACCCTGACTGGATGGTGTCAGGAGAATATGCTGTAATACAGTTCTCTGATGCAAAGCAGTGATTTTTTTTACCAAGATACATACCAAATGTTCACGCTTCATTTATGATTTAAATTTTTGCAATAAAAAATATGGGCTATGACGTCATTCAAACGTTACTACTAAACTAATCACTTATCAATGGTATAGTGATCTGCCTTTAAACCAAGCAGTGCATGTTTACGAAATTAACTGGATTTCAGTTATATCCTTTGAATACCATCTGTAATTGTATAATTGCGTGAATAGTGAAGCTTCTAAGTTTTTGAGAATAGTGGCAAATGTTCCTATTTTTGAATGAAGTATTTGATTTACATATCTCATGGCCAATTTGCATAGCATTACACTGAGCAACGTTTTTCAATCTCTTGCACATTTTTAAATGTCTTTAAAGAAAAGCCACTTGAGCAGATGGATTGTGGAATGCTGTAAATGTTATTCCAGCCAAAAGGGGTATTCATTTCAATCTGATCCATTACAGTATTTCGATTGATGCACTTTTATGATTTCATGTGTTACACGATTGTCAATATTTGACATGCAAAATGTGATGCACGTTGTTTTGAAACTGGAATGGTTTTGAGATTAAATTGATACAAGTTACAGTATCCAATTGTGAAGTGTGATCATTCATCGTGATTGTGGACATATCACTGGGATCGGTGTTGACTTAGACTTCTACTTGCATTTGTATGTACAGCATGTTGAACTTCTTTCGGATTGTACGCAGCCAACCGTGATAATTAGGTGCGTGGGTGCTAATCGTAGGTGGAGGGGTGTGATAAACACAGGCGCGTGTGATGTCTGCAATGGCAATGTGTGGTGTGTATAATAAGTAGCGAAAGTTGTGTTCATTAGAAACATTTCCCAGAGTTGATACCATGGAGATGTGCAGTGCTCCGTTGTACAAATGTATACGTACCTAAACAGGAATAACTCGTGTATTGTGTGAAATATTGGGTGCCGTATAATAGTTTTTTTGCAAAACCCACTTCCATACAACGAGCATCTGTCACTTCGATAGACTCTGCATACTCCGTTCTACTTGTACGAATTCGCCCCTAGCTAGTTGTCCACCAGTTGGTGATGACGTTCAATAGTGGAATGTACTCGTACAGATAAGCATTATTTCATGACAGCATTTTAATACTAACAGAAAAACGAGCAATGCTAAAACGTTATACACCTCCTTGCATTATATTACTGTGTTGATATACAGATGCGTGTTTTATTGTTTTCATCGCTCCAGTGTATCTTGTAGTACGTACCAGACTTGGGTTTGTTCGATTTGTTACGGATAATCCCGATCAGCCAAGTTGCCCGACTATTTTGCAAGGGAGGTCCCGTGGTGCTGGAGCACAGCAAACACAAAGACGGCATCGACGTTGCAGACAACGAGCACAGGATCTTTAATTGGCTAATGTCTTGCACAACTAACAACACTGAGATTGCAACGGTCGTAAACCAAGGTAAATACAAGCTTGCTGATACGTACTTCAAATCAGATCAATGCACTATGTAGCTGATAGGAGCGAACTTTAACAAGTTTCTATGTGTGAATTCACGTGGCAGCAGTCACAATGTGATGGGGGTTGGGGCATCAGCGTGAGATGCCCTCTGGGATGACGCAAGGGCTACTCGGTTGCCGGGGAACGACCGTGTAAACAGGAGTCGGGTGTTTATATATATATTTTTTAAATCATATACATTCGACGCTCACGGTTGTGTTTTATTGTTGTTCGTAGTTGCTATTGTTGAGTAAACACCACGGGATTGTTGGCTGTCGAGTCTCCGTGGGATGCGAGAGAGACCGGCAGAGATGTTTGGCCCACAATGTGAGCGAACTGATTAAAGGGATTGCAGACGCGTGGCGAGTTTGTTTGGGATCGAGGCGGCGTGATGGAGCAGGTGAAGAAGGTGAGTAACAGCCGCAACTTTTTGGGTTCCTGGAAGGGTCATTCACCCGAAACGTCGCCTCTTATATACTCGTTCTTTCTAAAACGCAGAGTTATTTACGCACGTGTCCGAGTTGTTATTGATGCAGGATCTGGTCCGGTGACCTTTTTAAAAAAATCTATTATGAAAGCCCAGCGTTTCGTTTGTCCGTCACCTAAATTATATCATCCTTTCAGGAGGCCTGAATCAAAAGGTTATAGAAAGTGCCCCCCCCAGTTGTGGGGGTAAAAAGTTTATTCAATAGGTTTCCACAAATTGTCGACCTAAAAAACAAATGTATTTTGACGGCGTATGCCTACATACAATAGTCAGTAGTATCTACTACACACCCTACATACTAGAGTAAGTAGTGTCTACTACACACTTTACATACAATATAGTATCTACTACACACCCTACATACAATAGTAATATCTACTACACACCCTACATACAATAGACAGTAGTGTCTACTACACACCCTACATACAATAGAGACAGTAGTATCTACTACACACCCTACATACAATAGAGTCAGTAGTGTCTACTACACACCCTACATACAATAGAGACAGTAGTATCTACTACACACCCTACATACAATAGAGACAGTAGTATCTACTACACACCCTACATACAATAGTCAGTAGTGTCTACTACACACCCGACATACAATAGAGTAAGTAGTATCTACTACACACCGTACATACAATAGAGACAGTAGTATCTACTACACACCCTACATACAATAGTCAGTAGTGTCTACTACACACCCTACATACAATAGTTAGTAGTATCTACTACACAACCTACACACAATAGAGTAAGTAGTATCTACTACACAACCTACATACAATAGAGTCAGAAGTATCTACTACACACCCTACATACAATATAGTCAGTAGTATCTACTACACAACCTACATACAATAGTAGTATCTACTACACACCCTACATACAATAGTCAGTAGTATCTACTACACACCCTACCTACATACAATAGAGTTAGTCGTATCTACTACACACCGTACATACAATAGAGTAAGTAGTGTCTACTACACACCCTACATACAATATAGTAGTATCTACTACACACCCTACATACAATAGTAGTATCTACTACACACCCTGCATACAATAGACAGTAGTGTCTACTACACACCCTACATACAATAGAGACAGTAGTATCTACTACACACCCTACATACAATAGAGTCAGTAGTGTCTACTACACACCCTACATACAATAGAGACAGTAGTATCTACTACACACCCTACATACAATAGAGACAGTAGTATCTACTAAACACCCTACATACAATAGAGTCAGTAGTGTCTACTACACACCCTACATACAATAGTCAGTAGTGTCTACTACACACCCTACATACAATAGAGTAAGTAGTATCTACTACACACCTTACATACAATAGAGACAGTAGTATATACTACACACCCTACATACAATAGTCAGTAGTGTCTACTACACACCCTACATACAATAGTTAGTAGTATCTACTACACAACCTACACACAATAGAGTAAGTAGTATCTACTACACAACCTACATACAATAGAGTCAGAAGTATCTACTACACACCCTACATACAATATAGTCAGTAGTATCTACTACACAACCTACATACAATAGTAGTATCTACTACACACCCTACATACAATAGTCAGTAGCATCTACTACACACCCTACCTACATACAATAGGTTTCCACAAATTGTCGACCTAAAAAACAAATGTATTTTGACGGCGTATGCCTACATACAATAGTTAGTAGTATCTACTACACACCCTACATACAATAGAGTCAGTAGTCTACTACACACCCTACACACAATAGAGTAAGTAGTATCTACTACACACCCTACATACAATAGTCAGAAGTATCTACTACACACCCTACATACAATAGAGTCAGAAGTATCTACTACACACCCTACATACAATAATAGTATCTACTACACACCCGACATACAATAGTCAGTAGTATCTACTACACACCCTACGTAAAATAGAGTAAGTAGTATCTACTACACACCCTACATACAATAGAGTCAGTAGTATCTGCTACACACCCTACATACAATAGAGTCAGTAGTATCTACTACACACCCTACATACAATAGAGTCAGTAGTATCTGCTACACACCCTACATATGTAATGAGCCCAAAGACGAGGGAGAGCCGGTACTTGAGGCAACACTTTTATTTAACAAATAACTCAATACAAGGTCCCTAACACAAAGGGGTAACAGCCCCTTCCACCCGCTACCTTGGGAGGTATGGCCTCCGGGCTATCGTGCCTCCTAACACTGGGGACCACTCTACACTCTGCCCTCCGCTAGGGGCCCTAGGGGAAGCTATCCTGACCCGACCCAGCCAAAGTCCTCGGGTCCTGGCCACTCGCCCACTCAGTCCCGGCCCTTACAAGGACGTCGGGTCTGGGGGTACCCAGGGTCCGACCACTGTCCCACCTCAGTCCCAGCCCTTAGAAGGGCAGCGGGTCTGGGATTACCAGGGTCCTAGTCTAAGCTCGATCTTCTGTCTTCGGCTTGAGGACGACTGCCGAACCCGTTCAAGGGTCTCTCCACCCCTGGCCACGCCTCCCTTCCAGAATGTTCTAGGGGATCCTGGAATATTCCCCCAGCCCCCCTCTTGGGGTCTGGGGAACCCTAGCGGCCCACATACCACCCCCTGCTGACGTATGTCTGCTACTGCAGGTAAGTTACCACTTCATGACGCTACACATACAATAGTCAGAAGTATCTGCTACACACCCTACATACAATAGAGTCAATAGTATCTGCTACACACCCTACATACAACAGAGTCAGAAATATCTACTACACACCCTACATACAATAGAGTCAGTAGTATCTACTACACACCCTACATACAACAGTCAGTAGTATCTACTACACACTCTACATACAATAGAGTCAGTAGTATCTGCTACACACCCTACATACAATAGTCAGTAGTATCTACTACACACCCTATATACAATAGTAGTATCTGCACACATGGGGGGTTGGGGAAGAAGACATCAGTGGGGGTGATAGTCGAGGTGTGAAAGCGCTGAGAAGCCCTCTGCACGAGCTAGAATAAGGTGGCTGTAGGCCGCCGAAATTCTAGTTATTTAAAACTGTTGCTGAGCACAGGCCCAAAACATTCAGCAGTGGATTGACAACGAGATGGTACACGTACATTCCATGTGTGGCCCAGTAGTGTGAGTGTAGATGTGTAAATTTGTTGATTCATGGATTTATTGGACTGTGTTTCCAGCCCCCAATGTGTGCTCCTGGACGCTGGTGCTGGAGGGATGAGACAAAATCCCTGGAGTTCGTGAGGTATCTGCAGTGTGGTCTTACCTGTAATCGTGTCTTCTCTGTACCCTGTGTCACTTATGGCCAACTTCTCTTCACATTAAATGTTTATAAGGACCAATACCTCAGCCGTGGCTGATCATTGTTTTAATGCTGTGGGCACACACGAAATTGATTTTTCCAAGACGAAGGTACTCTGCAAACCCACTGGCTATCAACAAAGATTCGTTCATGAAGCCATCCAGATATATAAACACAGACACAATTTCAACCAAGAAGATGGGTACAAACTGAGTAATCATTGGAAGGACGTTATTAACCAGTTTAAGTCATAACTGGCTGTGGTGTTCCCAGACTACCACCTTCCAATGTTAGTTATTTTCGGCTCTCTAATTTTTTACATTAACAGATTAAATTTCTCACTAACACAGCTACCTTGCGCGCCATCCTCGAGGCGGCTGCTTCACGATCTTCCATTAACATGCTAATATTTTACATGAACATAGTCATCTTGGCACGCTCGCTATGGAGGATGCCCGGCGATCTTCCATTAACATGCTAATCTCTCACAGTAACTTAGCCACCTTGGCGCACTCGCCGTGTAGAAGGCTCAGCGATCTTGCATTGACATGCTAATTCTTGCCTGGCAGCCCTCTGACTGGTAGAAAGCCCACCACCGCCGCGGACGCTGCCCACCACTTGCATTGTTATTGGCTGCTGCCATTTGGGCTATGCCCATTTCAAACCTTTATAAGCAGTTGTCTTTAGAAGATAACCCCCCTTTTCCTGAAGACAACCGCTTGTGTTGTTATTTTTTTCTGTCTACGTGGCTTTACCGAAAGACCCAAAGAATATGAATTCCTGCAGTCACGAAAGCTTTAAGTCAAGTTTGAGATGTTCCCATTGCTCACTTGAGATTTGCGCTGGCAGTGCTTTCGCATCACCAGACGGGAAAGAGAGGAAGAAGAGGCACAAGGGGCTTCTGCTGCGAGAGGTTGGGGCGAAGCACAGCGACAGGTGAGAAGGGTCACTTCTTATTCTTTGGTTTATGTTTTCTATAGACCCAAGGAATATGAATTCTTGCAGTCACGGAAAGCTTTAAGTCAAGATTTAAGGGTCGCTTCTGTCCATATTAGAGACGCATATCCATAGAGAGGATTAAAGCAGCTGCCTAGTGTTTAGTGCATTGAACTATTAACATCATGCGGAGGCCCTCATCCAGCAGTGGAATTATATTGGGATGTATGTTTTATTTTTTTTCATTTCAACCCATAGAGGATGCTAAGGGTCAAGGGGCAGATCTGTAGCAGAGCTCTCAAGAGAAGAGATTTATGTCTTCTATAGAAGAATACTGAGAAGTTCTCGTCCGCACATCCGATTAGCACGGTTGGCTATGTACGGTGCAAAAGAAGTTAAACATACATCTCCATTGGCAATGGCGGAGCCAGGATTTTCAGGTAGGGGGGGCAACCCCTCCAGCAATGAAAAATGATAGGAGTTGTTAGTAAGGACTTGTCCCTTGCTTTTTATTTGACGTGTTTGCGGCAATGGCGCAGCCATCAATTGAGGGTCGAATTCGAATTGTGTGTGATCGGCATCGCGCTCGCTGAAGACATGCTTTCAGGGAAGTCGTGTACTCTATACGCAACTGCGCACAATTCTGAGTCACTTATAACTGCTTTGTCGTTACTTATTGCCAATTATGGACTCAGACTATTGTCCTATCATATCATAGAGTCCCTGGCGCGTAATAATATGCTACACAGTGGCAGTGGGGGTCGCAAAATGCCGATTTATTACTAATAAACCTCAAAGATCCGATCGAAATTAGGGATTTATATCGGATCATTGGGGGGCACGTGCCACCCCACCCCCCCACTGGCTCCGCCAGTGTCCATTGGCAACCCTGAGCTGGTGATGTTAATTCAACATTCCTTTGGCAGGCACCAGTCTTTGCGTAGGACAACCTATTTCTATAATGTTATTTTTTAAAAGTTATAAACGATTTTTTTCATTATGAGACCTCCTTTGCCAGAAACAAGATATAGAATAGGTTTTACCCTTTTAACTGGCACAAAAACTGACACCTTTATTCAAGGCATCATGTTTGCAATAACCATAACACAAGCAGTCAAAATGCAAACAAAAAAGACAACTCTGATAATAATATGCACTGTCCTTGAATTTGATTGGTCCACACCCGAGACAACTTTTCTTAGAGCCTAGTCTCCAAGCTGTCTCGGGTGTGGACCAATCAAATTCAAGGACAGTGCATATTATTATCAGAGTTGTCTTTTTTGTTTGCATTTTGACTGCTTGTGTTGCGGTTATTGCAGACATTATGCCTTGAATAAAGGTGTCAGTTTTTGTGCCAGTTAAAAGGGTAAAACCTATTCCTATATCTTATAAACGATTGTGGGTGGATTAACTTGAGTCGACCCCCTTATCAAGATTCTTGGTCAAGTATGATGTCACTGTCGTGTTTTCACGTCTCCACAGAGCATCGACGGATGAAGGAAGTGTGAGCAGCTCTACTGGGTGGCGCCCTGGTGGTGGCTTCCTGCAGCCCGCGTCCCAGCACGAGTCTGACACTGTCACAGTGCACCATGTGAAACGTGGGGATAACACGCCAGCTTAGCTTCTTTAATTTGGAGGGGTGCATTGTTGTGCCGTGGTTTCTTGACGATGTGCACCGCGATACTCTACATTACTTTTGAGGGATTTGCTAATTATCTATAAATCAATTCTCTGCTCCTAGATGTTGCACTCAGCACTTTGGAAGAAACTATTGAAGCTCAGTTGTCACCTTCGTTTGTGGATATGATAATGTAAGTATGAATACCATTGGAAGTATTACAAGTATTTTTATACATTTGTAATGACTTGACACACTTTATTGAAGACACGTTCACTTGACATCAGGCAGAGATCCCAATAGCCGAGTCTCCCGCGCATCTCCCTTATATATCAACACGAGGCCACGCCCCCCTTCTCGATCATTCTCGCTGACTTTGGATGCTCGCTCCACCGGCAGACTCTACCGTCCTCTTCCGTCACGTGACCACGCTCCCTTCTCGAACATTCCCATAGCCACCAGTCCCTTCGCACTCACAACTGACTCCCCTGTCATTACCTCCCGTGACCACTAGTGCAATCGTACTGTAAGCTGACTTCCCTGTCATTACCTCCAGTGGCCACTAATCCCTCACACCGCATGCAGGCTCTATAGTTATTACATATTTATGAAAAACTAGATAACTTTGAAACTTTTATATTCAGTAAGTTATACAGCACAGTATTTAAATATATAATTTGTTGATTATTTTTGTTGTTGTTGCAGGACCCAGCAGTTTGATGATTTTTTGAAATCTCTTCTAAGCTACATGTCATGTTTCTTTGTCAAAATTGCACTTGAAAAAAGACCAAAACCCCTGATGGCGTACGTAGCTCATTACATTACACTGAATCTCGATAAACACTCAGATAAATTAAATTTCGTTGAGTGGCATATAATGTGTATTAGCATGCATAAGTCATGTATCATTGAAACATAACGAATTTCAGGAATGCTAACTGCATGAGACAAAACATGTACATTGGGCTGTCCGCTCGAATTTATTCCAGACCCATTCAATAAACTGCTCAATGTATTTGCAATGTCATCAATGGTGCCATAAATATAATGTACTATCAACCCACATACAGTACTTACATTAGATATCTAACTAATGATTTCCACTTTCACAATACGTAACTACATATGTAAATCTGCATGGTTGTGTGCGTGTGTGTACACGATGTTTGAACTCCACGTGTAAATTACGTTTCACTGTGTCTGGTGTCTTTGTTCACGCTGTTGGTGTGTGGCCACAGGGAGCCAAGTGCGTCGGAGCAGCGCGAGCTGGCGGAGGTGCTGGGGGCTGTTGAGCGGGCTCACCAACACGTGGCGTGCACCTACTGCGTGCTGCTGCTGGGCATCGGCCTGCAGCGACACCACCACATGGCCTGTGGCTCGTGAGCCTCGCACCGAGCCTGTGGTTGTATCTCTGTAGCAGCTTGATATACTGAATGAGTCCACTTAATTATAAAACAAGACTATTATCCTTCATGATTGACTCAAATTGTAAAAAAAAAATCAAGACATTGTGCTCTGCTCCTTGTGAAAGAAAATCATCGTGGCATTATAAAAAAAAAATGTTTCATACTGGTAGGAACGAAGTTGTAAACTGAGTGTACCAGCCTGTAATAGATTAATGTGTCCGTCCGTCCGTCTGTCCCCTTTCAATACTTTAACGAAGTGAAATCTCGTGCTGTTGGGGTGTAAAAATAAAATTGCGCAAAATTCCAATGTTCCTACCAGCCCACCCTGCAGGGACCTGTTTCTTATCAGTGCCATTGAGCAGCGATTCAAAGTATGGGGGAATTAGTTCCCCTATGACCCTTCATGGTACATAGGGGGAATGCTGGGGAAATGTATATGCCAAAAGCATGACTTAACCTTGTACACGTGTAAAGGAGAGCCGACACAAGGTTGCAGGGGGGTTTGTCTTTTAATCCTTTTCTCCCATCCATACCCGTCCTCAGCCGTCTCACTCTCGTTCCCGCCAAGCTTCCCTTCTTCCCGCCCATTCTCTCCCTTATATCTCCTCGCTTACTCCTCACCCTCCTCCTGTCACCGTCCCACTAACCCTCCTATTGGTGGGAATCCTTCCCCTGAAACCCCTACACATGGGTGCTGACTGCCCTTCCGCGCCCTCCCATCTTGGCGCCCCCTCTCTATCTGCTTTAACCGATGATATTGAATCTTGATTTGAAGCTTTCTTGACTGTAGGAGTCCATACTCTTTGGTTCTTTTGGTAAAGTCATCACGTGGTGGGATCCCACCTGAGGACGATCGCTTGTGTGGAGATCAAAACGTCGTGATCTGTTATTATGTTTCTACGTGACTTTACCGCAAGAACCAAAGACAATTATATTGAGTTATATATTTATTTCAAAGGAAAGGATCAAACATAATTTGGATCTATTTGTATGAGCTTCACATGCACTTTTTAAACTTCCTCATAGGATGCGTGCCACATTCATACTGTAAATGTAATAATTGAATATAGCACTTAAGCAATATTACTTTTAATATTACCCTAAGATAATAAACCTGAAGAGTTGCCAGCTGAAAATGATGGAGTGGCAAAATTAAATCAGACTGAATGTAAATGTTCGAGATATACAATAGTTGAAGTAATAGTTGCATGAATGTATATATCAAAAAACTTCCTTTGTTTATTAAATATTTTGCAGGAAAAAGACTTCTTCAACACATCGTGACAGAAACATGTATGAGGTCAGGATTACCATTTTTCTTTTTCTTACACTGTCAGTGACACATTACTGTAACTTCAAAAGAACTACCTGTGAAGTTAGCATGTAACGTAAAACAAGTAGCAATGTAAAGGAATATCTACAGAAGCTGCTTATAAGCACTGCACACTTATGATAAACACTGCACATTTATTAAGTATTTTGATTTGCTGGGTTTAGGCTTGTCTACCATATGCATCTTATGTAAGGCAGCTGAAAAAAAATGTGTTTATAATGTCAATAATTAAAGCTGGGCTTTCCTCAAATATATGCATGCAACATGCATTACTTACAGTCACACCAGAGAATGTGTTGCGGTGTGTGGATGAAAACATAAAAGAATGGTGTCTATGTTTGTGACCACCACACAGTACCTGTACGAGCTGTGTATCTTGGCATCCTGGGTGACCTTTCGACGGCAAGACCTAGAACTCATTGAGCAGGAGCTGAGCCGGCTGCTTCGCTCAGATGCCTTCAACTTAGCCCCGAGGGCACGTGAGGATGACCTGGAGGAGGAAGAGGAATTTTGCAATGCAGGGCCTGAGCGCCGGAGAAGAATTACACAGGCAGAATTCAGGTGCACAGTTTCTGGCTTCCAACCAATCAGCTTGGATGTAATAATATGGGTAGCTATTATATGTATGAAAAGTGGTCCCCTAATTGTTCAAGAAAAGACAGTTTACATTATTTATAATCCATACGTATATTTTAAGTTGTCTTAATTTATTCCTGTTTTAAGATAAAGTATGATGCATACAGTATATATTACAGTAACCACAAAGAATATTACGGGTGAATATTTTTTACTTTGTATACAGTATGTGCAGCATTAGGATTATTGTTTCAAAATAGGTTAAGCATATGCAAACATAATTGACCTTTTACCATTGTTCATCTTATTCTTTCAGAAAAATGTACCCGAAACGTCCGGCCATAATGAGCGTTGTAACCCAGCGATCTCCCGCATTGGTCTCTCTCCTACCGACACCCAAAGAGGAGTCCCTCTACCTATTCAAGCCACTCTGCTTGCCTGTCCATACCTCTACACTCCCTGCAACAGCTCCAGTGATCAGCACAAAACCATCTGCAGAGGAATGTCCAGAAATTAAGTATGTTATTATTTCACAATGCTTATATCATAGTTCATAGTATTATTGTTGGACCATTTCCTATATTTACATCCCTCATAATGAGTCTCAACTACATGGATGTCAGTAAGCTCTAGTGCTAAACCTTTTAAACGATAAACCCTATGCATGAGTCTTCTGGTTAAGTGTGATGACATTCTTTTTTATCTTTTTTCCAAATGTATTCCAAGTGTGCTATCATGGCATAAATTATGCAGTTGGAGCTCTTGCAGAGGAGTGCACACCCCATGTGTTAAGAGAATTGCCCGCAAAAGAAGAGTTAATCAAACTACAGTACTTTTGAGAGCTTTTTAAATTACATTTTTATTATGAGACCTCCTTTGCCAGTAACAAGATATAGTAATAGGTTTTACCCTTTTAACTGGCACAAAAACTGACACCTTTATTCAAGGCATCATGTTTGCAATAACCACAACACAAGCAGTCAAAATGCAAACAAAAGAGACAACTCTGATAATAATATTGGCACTGTCCTTGAATTTGATTGGTCCACACCCGAGACGGCTTTCTTTAGAGCCTCGTCTCCACTGGTGTTGGACCAGAAGACGCCAAAACAGCACACTATCAGAGTATTGAGGGCTCGGAGTGAGCATTTACATTATGAGACCTCCTTTGCCAGTGACAAGATATAGTAATAGGTTTTACCCTTTTAACTGTCTTTTTGTTTGCATTTTGACTGCTTGTGTTGCGGTTATTGCAGACATGATGCCTTGAATAAAGGTGTCAGTTTTTTTGTGCCAGTTAAAAGGGTAAAACCTATTACTATACATTTTTATTGTCACGCAAGCAGCACACTTTCTCACATGCCCTACTAGAGAGTATGGTTTATATGTTTATATATAATCTCAGAGTAGGAGTTTTGTAAGATTAAGTGAATAAGCACCTTTATTGTGATTTTTTTTTTATGTAGAGCTATTAGTGACACTTGAGATCCTGCTTTTATAACAGGTGACTACCCATATTTGAATCCAAGATTTCAGAAGTGCCAGCTCAGGACTCACACTTGAGTCACTCATTATCATTATTTAGGGTAAACACAAATAGAATCGTGTAATGCACGGTTTCTCTGTCATGTTTATTCAGCTACTTATCCATGATGCAACATTTTGGTTCTTTCCATCGTCTGTGCCTGCAGGGTGGGCATCATTGGAGAACCACTAAGCCTGTTTGTTGTGAACACGCTGATGCCACTGGAGCCAGAGCAGGAGTGGGGAAAGGAGGAGGAGCTGGAGATGGTGCCTAAGGAAACTGCAGGATCCAGTGCAGGGGATTTAGATCTAGCTTGAACTGTCAGCACCATAATTTAGGCATTTGGGCATCATCCTTGTCACAAACATATTTTGCATACAGTTGGACAATTTGACTCCTACACCACCAAGTGATGCCTGTGGGTTTAAGAAGGCACAATGACTGCTGAAAGCTTTGCATTAAAATGACCTGTGATTTAATTATTTACAATTGTATTTTAAGCAATAGATTATATAACAAATTCCAGATTTAGATTATATAACAAATTCCAGATTTTTTTTAATTATTGCCCAGAGGTTATTGCATAATACATGTTCCCAAAGGTCACTCCCCTAATACTCTTATATAAGCGCACAACTTTATCTGTGATGAACGCTGCACTTTCCGTCGTTATCATGCAGGGGGCGCTGCAAACCTACGCACCCCCTGCATGAACGACGGAGGCGCAGGGACAGACGTTCGATTACGTTGGAATCGATCTGCAGACGGCGGTCTTCTCGCACGGCCAGCAGCTCCGTGTCGCCTTATCTCGATCCCGCAATCCTAAACAGGTGAAAGTCCGCATCGAACCGAACCCCCAGCAAGGCCATCTACTTAACGATGAGAGAAAATTCACACGAAATGTCCTTTTCAATGAAGTCTTCCAGATGTAAAATGATATAAGCTTTTAATGAAGAAATAAAATGATCGCATTAAAAACATAATACAATTCAAAGATGTTTGATTTTAAAACTTCAAAACGGAGCATCGGGTGCTTGCGTGAATGCGTCGTTCGTGTGCAATTTTTTACATGACTTTCTTGGCCGAAGGCCGTAAATGTTTGTGAGGGGTGCCAATCAATTGTTTATTTTGGATAAAAACAAACAGCACTCCCCTCTGTGTATCTCAAGCAGTAAGCATTCTAATTCTGAAGTTAAACATGTAACGGTTGGCTTCCCCATAACGCAGAAGTCATTTTATTATCATCAGAGATATGATTTGTTAATGTAACACTCAACCAGGATTTGAACTCAGGCTTGTGATTGTAAGCTTGTCACTCTACCACTGAGCCACCAGGCCAGATTACCAGTTTAAATTGTGCATAAATAATGCTACATAATTTTACTCATTATAGTAATTGGCATAGCTTGCAAATCTTTTGAATGCCATTGTGCTGTATACCTAATCATAATAATCGTACGATATGGTATTCTTCCACCATTCTTGTATTCCGATGTGATGTTGCACCTTGGTAATATTGCGAAATACATTTTACGGTGTTAAATTATGAAAGTGCACTGCATCCTGTCTGCAACTTCTCATAAGCCTGCCCCCATCTATAAGGCTACACTCCAGATACAAAGTGTCACCTCTTACTAATGGATTGATGAATTAGTTAAGGGGTGCCATTCACTGGGATTAGGCCGAATGAAAACCAATTTCTGTCATCGAGAAAAAAAATGAAAATGTCAAAGAATAAATTACCAATAACGGTAATATGCATACAAATCACATTTTATTCATTTTTTTAATGGGCAGGTGTATTGGGGATGTTTCACACATTGCAGGGAGAAATCTCCAAATCACCACGACTGTACTCGATCTCCAATAATGTAAGCTTAGGGTTGAACGAGGTTAGTACTTGAATGGGAGACTGTCTGGAAATACCAGGCGGTGTCGGATCTTCACCCAAAAAAACCTCCCCATGTATTATGAATATTGGTCGCGAAAGCCTACGTGTTAAAGGACATCAATGTTATGAATATCACGAGCGTTGCCACTAGGGGGCAGTGCAGGCCCCTTATAACACTTAGGGGCTCCTGCTATCCCTGCATTTCACACTCGGAGCACTGGGGTGCAGTAGCAGCAGCTCTCCTTTAAAGAGGAAATGGTGGAAGAACAAGAGAAGAGGCGAAATAAATCCCCGTACCGTTTGTTGAGCGGAGGACATTCTGTCCTCTTTTAAAGTACTGTACCGTGCGGAAACACTCTCAAGATACTCTCCCTGTGTCACTAAACCTTCCAGCAGGTAAGCGCCCTGCAGCAGTTGCAGCGGTGGTTGTGATGTGGGGATTTTGACGACGCTGCTGTAGACTATTTTGTTTGTGTTGTCATCCCGAGTCCGGCCTCAACTAGGCCACGAAACCACCTCTTTCCCCCTTGCTTGGTTTGACCATGAGAGCGTTGCACGAGGCGTCACTGCAGAAGTTCTGACTGACCACTTTTTATTTGTCACAAGAATTAACACCACCGCCGCCGTCATCATCATCAAAGTTAATCCACAACGTTACGGGCCACGGTGAACCAGAGCCATTGGCCCCCCACCACCCCCAACGACAGCAAAGAGGCAGCTTCACCGTGGGGCAGCTTTGGGCTGCAACGTGGCACCCATGCTGTGGCTTTCTTTACCTCGACGAATGTCGTGGTGGCCGGTGACTTTCTGTGCCCCCCCAACTCCACCCGTTGTGGCCACGTGTGGCCTGAAATCGCCTCCTCAGCTGTGCCCGTGCCCAGTTGTTGTGCCCCGTGCGTGCCCAGTTGTTGTGGCCCCAGCGTGCCCAGTTGTTGTGGCCGTGCCCAGTTGTTGTGGCCCCTGCGTGCCCAGTTGTTGTGGCCCCTGCGTGCCCAGTTGTTGTGCCACGTGCTTGCCCAGTTGTTGTGCCCCGTGCGTGCCCAGTTGTTGTGGCCGTGCCCAGTTGTTGTGGCCCCTGCGTGCCCAGTTGTTGTGGCCCCCTGCGTGCCCAGTTGTTGTGGCCTCGTGCGTGCCCAGTTGTTGTGCCCCCTGCGAGCCCAGTTGTTGTGGCCCCTGCGTGCCCAGTTGTTGTGGCCTCGTGCGTGCCCAGTTGTGCCCGTGCCCAGTTGTTGTGCCCCCTGCGAGCCCAGTTGTTGTGGCCCCTGCGTGCCCAGTTGTTGTGCCCCCTGCGTGTCCAGTTGTTGTGGGCCCTGCGTGCCCAGTTGTTGTGCCCCCTGCGAGCCCAGTTGTTGTGGGCCCTGCGTGTCCAGTTGTTGTGGCCGTGCCCAGTTGTTGTGGCCCCTGCGAGCCCAGTTGTTGTGGCCCCTGCGAGCCCAGTTGTTGTGGCCCCTGCGTGCCCAGTTGTTGTGGCCCCTGCGTGCCCAGTTGTTGTGCCCCCTGCGAGCCCAGTTGTTGTGGGCCCTGCGTGTCCAGTTGTTGTGGCCGTGCCCAGTTGTTGTGGCCCCTGCGAGCCCAGTTGTTGTGGCCCCTGCGTGCCCAGTTGTTGTGGCCCCTGCGAGCCCAGTTGTTGTGCCCACCGGGTGGAGGGAAGGCGGCGTGGACAAGCGACAGCTGTTCCAGACCCCAGAGCCACGTTAGACACCTATTGCTGGTGCAGCTGTTGGGCTATGTTAGAGGCATTATTGTGGTAATTGATGTCTGTGCTCTCCCCCCCCCCCCCACCGCTTTTCCCACTTGTGGCACTCTTGCTAATGTGATGGGGTTACGTCTGATTATATACCAGGGGTCGGCTGGTATAAGAGAACGAGCGGCGTGTGTTTCGTGACCTCCAGAGTGAGTGTTGGCTTGGCTCTGGAGTGACGGCTGTCACTTCGAAAGGTTGCTCAATCAAAGTTGGGGGGGGGGGGGGGCTGTTGGTTTTGTTGAGCGGTCGGCAGCTTGAGACCTCTTCCAGGGTGGAGAGGGGGGGCATGGGGCCCGCTGTTTGGACATTAAAATATTCCAACAGCACACCCATTGAAATAGCAGACAGCGTGCGTATTAATCATGCATATGAACGAAATTACATTCGGAAACCCGCTGGGAGCCCTGCAGAATGCGATTATTTTGCATTTCCACATTTTTAAACACAGCACGGTGCCTATGCATTACATTTGTGGTACATATTTCATGCTATGTCTGGTAGTGGACCGGTGACCTGTCACGGCTAACGTCAGTGGCGAGTGATAGTCCTTGGGTCATCCCTTTTACCAAACCCGCAGATGGCCACTATGGTTCAAGTGTGATTCAATATCTGCGTGGGGAGGCCTTCATCCAGCAGTGGATTGACAAGTGGCTGCAAATTCTTACTGCACGGTAGTTAGAATTGCATTGTGTAATACTGTACTCGATCCAGCATTGTACAAAGAAAACATGAACACATTCTTAAATAACACAGCCGTAAACGGTAACATATATAACAGGCGACGTTTTGGGCAATTGCTATGAAGAAGGGGCATTGCCTGAAACGTTAGCTGGTTATATTTTTATTGAAGGCGGTGCTATTTACGAAATGCGTCGAGCTTTTAGTGAAACTTCGATACGCTGTTTGCATCCTTCGCAGGTCCGTTTGGTCAATGCATTACAACGACCATGCGCCACGCTTTTCCTAAAGCATGCCTCTCTGCGTTCAACAAACAGCAACAACGCGCACACACACATACACACGAGGTCGGTTCTCACGTTGGGGGGGTTGCCAGAGTTTTAAATGGCTTAAAGCCATGTACCAAAGTCACCCAAACTTGTAGTGCTAATAACTTAACTTTCAACAGGGCAATGCTTGTTTACCTGGTGATTTCACGCCAAGCCTGTTGAGGATTCATATGCAGCATTTACAGCACTTTGCTTCATACTGCTAATCCTGTTAAATTATGCTGATTGGGATACATGTGCCTGGATTATGATATTAACTGCAGCACACTACTGCAGCGGCAACTCGAATAACGATGCCGCCCAGAGGCAACGTGATTTTTGTGGCTTTCCACATTGCATAAATGCGGTACAGCACAGCACTCTTGATGCTCTACGTATAGACATTAATATGTGACGACTGTATTTGCACAGTTGAATGGGATTTTTCCTGTGGGGACCTCGGTAAACATGGAACGTTGGGGTCAAGGGTTCCAACAATATGCCAGCGTTGGCTTAGCGTTGCATGTTTATTGGGGAGACGGATTCAAGGGAAATATCAACATGTCGTGAAGTTGGTTACCATATACAGTACTGTATTGCAAACCTGTATCTAGGCTCATGAGGCATCGTTTTCCACTTTGGGTTCTTATGAATACAAATTAAAACGAGAACTTGATCTCCACTTTCAAACCACCATGTATGCCCGTTGTAGCTTTAGTTCACAAATCCTTCAAGCACACCTCGCGCGTGATAAAATTGCATATTACTTAAACATCAAAGGGTGACATTGCATACAACAATTACATTTAATAGGATGTTCAAAGGAAACCCCAACAAAACAATCTCAATTTGCACGTGCACATGAAGCTACTTAACTTTTTTTACCCCATTTAGTGACAATTACCTGCCCAAGAGATGGCAGCACTTGCAGATTGAGAGTGTTTTCCATGAGAGGTTTTTTGGGTTACATCTCGTAAATGTAAATGTGTCGTTAAACCCACCACCACCCGACAGCCAATTAGCATACACGTCAACCCCTTATCAGTGCCTACATTATTACAGACCAATTCAGACCTTATTTGTTACCCCGTGGTGCCCT